GGTACTACACGCATGCATGTCTTTGGCACTCTGTCCAACAGACAGTCCCTGAAATGGGGCTACCCCATCAGTGCTCAAAATAAATAAGTGTCATTGTTCATATCATAAAACAAACATAGCAACGATCTGCATATCTTCAAGGATTATCGGATTAACGCTATCATCTCCGTCATGGTCATCCTCATCTCGAAATCGTCAGCTGAATGTCAATTCCCATTCTTATACGTCCCAGATTGCTTTGTTATCACATTTAAAAGTACGTAAGTATATATTGAGATAAATATAGGTATCCTTTTAAATAGTTTTCATACGCTTTTTCATAGGCTTGCTTGAACTTAAATACATGCTTCTATGAATGCATTGAGGTCATGCAACACTAGGAGAGCAGCATTCAGTAAGCCTACTTGTTTTGATAGCAGTTTAGGGAGGAAGCATCATTTTACACACGTCCCAGTAGCTCCTCATGAAGACACGATGGACACAGTTGTACAAGACAGCCGTGAGGCGAAGCTACACAAGTATGTCTGTAACTGAGATGAATGCTGCAACTACACTGCATGAGTACTGTAAGTAATTAACTAATGCATTTTGCCTCAAATTACAGCTCAGCTGCAATATCTGTGGTATATAAACACTATGTTTTCAGCTCAGCGGTGTGGCTGGAATGTTACATTTAGGTCAAATGTCAGGAATACAATATCATCCAAGCTATAGGGCTGGTTTGGGGCATGGTATCCTTTTAGACACCCTTGTAGCCTACATATGTTAGATAATAACCTACAGTGCCTATCATAAGTATTCACCCCCTTGGATTTCTTCACATTTGATTGTGTTACAAAGTGGGATTAAAATAGATTTAATGGTCCTTTTTTTTGTCAACGATCTACACAAAATACTCTGTAATGTCAAAGTGGAAGAAAAGTTCTATATATTTTTTAAGATTAATGAAAAATAAAACACTAATATTCAGCACTTTGATTAGACAAGTATTCACCCCCCTGAGTCAATACATGTTAGAAACACCTTTGGCAGCGATTACAGCTGTGAGTCTTTCTGGATAAGTCTCTAGGAGCTATGTACACCTGGATTGTGCAACATTTGCCCATTATTATTTTCAAAGTCATTCAAGCTTTGTCAAGGTGTTGGGGATCATTGCTAGAATGCCATATATTTTCAAGCAGATTTAAGTCAAAACTGTAACTTGGCCACAAAAGATCATTCACTGTCTTCTTGGTAAGCAACTCCACTGTAGATTTGGCATTGTGTTGTAGGTTATTGTCCTGCTGCAAGGTGAATTCATCTTCCAGTGTCTGGTATAAAGCAGACTGAAGCAGGTTTTCCTCTAGGATTATGCCTGTGCTTAGCTGTATCCTGTTTCTTTTTATCCTGAAAAACGTTTCAGTCTTTTCCGATGTCAAGCATACCCATACCATGATGCAGCCACCACCATGCTTTAAAATAATGAGTCAATTACTCAGTGATGTGTTCTGTTGGATTTTTCTGTATTAATTTAGTGCCTTGTTGCATACAATGCATGTTTTGGAATATTTATATTCTGTATATTTGTATTCTTCTTTTCACTCTGTCATTTAAGTAATTATTGTGCAGTCACTACAATGTTGTTGATCCATCCTCAGTTATCTCCCATCACAGCCACTGAACACTGTAGCTGTTTTAAAATCACCAATGGCCTCATGGTAACATCCCTGAGCTGTTTCCTTCCTGTCCTGCAGCTCAGTCTAGAATGGACGACTGTATGTTTGATGTGTCTAGGTGATTGAATACATAATCCTACAGCATAATTATGAACTTGACCACGCTTAAAGAGATATTCAATGTCTGATTTGTTATTGTTACCCATCTACCAATCACTGCCCTTCTTTATGAGGCTTTTGAAAAGATCCCTGGTCTTTGTAGTTGAATCTGTGCTTGAAATTCAATACTTGACTGAGGGAAGTTACAGATACAGTGGGGAAAAAAAGTATTTAGTCAGCCACCAATTGTGCAAGTTCTCCCACTTAAAAAGATGAGAGAGGCCTGTAATTTTCATCTAGTACAACGTCAACTATGACAGACAATTGAGAAAAAAAAATCCAGAAAATCGACATTGTAGGATTTTTAATGAATTTATTGCAAATTATGGTGGAAAATAAGTATTTGGTCACCTACAAAACAAGCAAGATTTCTGGCTCTCACAGACTGTAACTCTCTTCTTTTAAGAGGCTCATCTGTCCTCCACTCGTTACCTGTATTAATGGCACCTGTTTGAACTTGTTATCAGTATAAAAGACACCTGTCCACAACCTCAAACAGTCACCACTCCAAACTCCACTATGGCCAGACCAAAGAGCTGTCAAAGGACACCAGAAACAAAATTGTAGACCTGCACCAGGCTGGGAAGACTGAATCTGCAATAGGTAAGCAGCTTGGTTTTAAGAAATCAACTGTGGGAGCAATTATTAGGAAATGGAAGACATACAAGACCACTGATAATCTCCCTCGATCTGGGGCTCCACGCAACATCTTACCCTGTGGGGTCAAAATGATCACAAGAACAGTGAGCAAAAATCCCAGAACCACACGTGGGGACCTAGTGAATGACCTACAGAGAGCTGGGACCAAAGTAACAAAGCCTACCATCAGTAACACACTACGCCGCCAGGGACTCAAATCCTGCAGTGCCAGACGTGTCCCCCTGCTTAAGCCAGTACATGTCCAGGCCCGTCTGAAGTTTGCTAGAGTGCATTTGGATGATCCAGAAGAGGATTGGGAGAATGTCATATGGTCAGATGAAACCAAAATATAACTTTTTGGTCAAAACTCAAAAAATGCTGAGTTGCATCCAAAGAACACCATACCTACTGTGAAGCATGGGGGTGGAAACATCATGCTTTGGGGCTGTTTTTCTGCAAAGGGACCAGGACGACTGATCCATGTAAAGGAAAGAATGAATGGGGCCATGTATCGTGAGATTTTGAGTGAAAACCTCCTTCCATCAGCAAGGGCATTGAAGATGAAAGGTGGCTGGGTCTTTCAGCATGACAATGATCCCAAACACACCGCCCGGGCAACGAAGGAGTGGCTTCGTAAGAAGCATTTCAAGGTCCTGGAGTGGCCTAGCCAGTCTCCAGATCTCAACCCCATAGACAATCTTTGGAGGGAGTTGAAAGTCCGTGTTGCCCAGCGACAGCCCCAAAACATCACTGCTCTAGAGGAGATCTGCATGGAGGAATGGGCCAAAAAACCAGCAACAGTGTGTGAAAACCTTGTGAAGACTTACAGAAAACGTTTGACCTGTGTCATTGCCAACAAAGGGTATATAACAAAGTATTGAGAAACTTTTGTTATTGACCAAATACTTATTTTCCACCATCATTTGCAAATAAATTCATAAAAAATCCTACAATGTGATTTTCTGGATTTTTTTTCTAATTTTGTCTGTCATAGTTGACGTGTACCTATGATGAAAATTACAGGCCTCTCTCATCTTTTTAAGTGGGAGAACTTGCACAATTGGTGGCTGACTAAATACTTTTTTCCCCCACTGTATTGTATGTATGGGGGACAGAGGAAGGGGTAGTTATTCAAAAATCATGTCAACCCCTATAATTTCACACAGAGTGAGTCCATGTAACTTATGTGATTTGTTAAGCCACATTTTACTCCTGAACTAATTTAGGCTTGAGTAAACAAAAGGGGTGAATACTTTTTCAAATTGTGTAGAAATGTTTTTTTACTCTGACATTCTGGAGTATTATGTATAGAAAAATCACAATTAAATCTATTTCAATCCCACTTTGTAACGCAACAAAATGTGAATAAATCCATGGGGGGTGAATACTTACATGTATGATACCCACTTCATAGTCATCCATTCACGTGTGATAGAAGGTTATAGAGGGCAAGACAATAAACTGTGTCTTTGGAGCAATGATAGTTGTGTGAGTGAGAATACTCATTCAGTTAAGAACTCCATGCAACAATCAACTGGCTATAGTTACTACCTACAGTACCCACAGTATCTAGCTACATTATCGGTTACAGTCACAACTACTTACCTATCTGTATGTAAATGAGTACACTTTTTTTATAAAAGAGGAAGAGACATTCACTTTGTCCTCAAAGCTGCAGTAAGATTGGTTCAGACTGATGCATGTGAGTGGACAAGGGACGCTTGCATTGCAATGTACAGTAAACACATAAATCATGTAAGACTAAAGCAGTGAAAAGTCAAGGACATTCTCAGTCATTCATCAGATACTGATGTCTACTGAAGAAAAGATGTCAAACCATCATAAGCTAATGGAGCTGAAGTATGTCATACATCCCTTAAATCATGTGGATTGCTACTACAGTACCACTCCTTGTGTGTCTCAGACTCAGGCCACGACAGGCCTCAGCACCCGAATGCCTGCTTTATGCTCACACGTTCCGTAATCTCCAAGTAGTTCACCACAGAACGGGTTTGTTTCGTTTGCTCCAGGAAGCAGCATACTGTAGCACTCAAACAAGACTCTTCAGAAGCGCAGTGTGCCTTTGGCGATGAAGGGAGACCAGGGTAGGGGCAGGCACAGGGGGGCTGAAGCAGTGTTGGTGGTGTGGTTATTCTGGAAACGATAAATTCCCTTTTTGAACTACATTTCTCCTCTTTTTTGTACTACTGTTGGATACTGTTGTGAACAGGTAATTTGACTATTGGATAAGTCACACTGACAAAGCCAACTCCATGCAGACATCAACAAGCACATTTGGATTATAAGATTTTAAGTCTGACAGAAGGTCAGTTTGAGGGAAAGGTGTGAGGCGCTAACAGGGGGAGCTAGGGGAGGAGTGAGCACATGGTCTCTGGTGTTTCTCATCACTGACAAATGACGAGTCCAGGTATACGTCCTGAATCTATTGCCTTGATATTCCAGCAGCACATGTGAAATGGGAGGCTACACACCTGTCCTATCCTTTGACCCCTCAACCTCACTGAGAGGTCAATGCCTGCCGGCTGGCTACACGTCTGTGAGCATTTTGGTGATGTTGACATAGTTTGTGTTGGCCAGCGTTGTGCAGTTGGCCTGAGTCTTGAGGTTCTCTTCAGGGATGTCCTCAATACTGTTGTTCACCCCTTCCTGGATCTCCATGTAGTCTGATTTACTGATGGTTGATCCGCTCCGGCTCTTTTTCAGCTCTTCATTCGAGTCCTCTTTGGTGACTGGGCCTAGGCACTGGGCCTGCTCCTCGCCCTCCGTCTCACGGTGGTAGAAGTAGTTGAAGTTGGAAACAATGACAGGCACGGGCAAGGCAATTGTCAGCACACCTGCAATGGCGCAGAGGGAGCCCACAATCTTGCCACCAATAGTGGTTGGGACCATGTCACCATACCCTACTGTCGTCATGGAGACAACAGCCCACCAGAAGGCGTCTGGGATGCTTTCAAACTGCGATTCGGGCTCATCAGCTTCCGCAAAGTAGACAGCACTGGAGAAAAGTATGACTCCAATAAAGAGGAAGAAGATCAGCAGACCGAGCTCCCTCATACTAGCTTTCAGGGTCTGGCCCAGGATCTGAAGCCCCTTGGAGTGTCGCGAGAGCTTGAAGATTCGGAAGACTCGCACTAGACGGATGACCCTGAGAATAGCCAGGGACATGGCTTGCTGACCCGCCTGGCCATCCTCTGGTTTCTCAGCCAGCTCTGTGGCCAGGGTGATGAAGTAGGGGATGATGGCAACAACGTCAATGATGTTCATGACGTTACCAAAAAAGCCAGATTTGCTGGGGCAGGCGAAGAGGCGCACCAGGAACTCAAAGGAGAACCAGATGATGCAGAGCGTCTCCAGGATGAAGAATGGGTCAGTGAAGTAGGTGGACGTGAAGTAGATTGTGGTGTTGGTGTTGGTGTCAAAGACACTGCGCGGTTCGTCGTCGTCGTTGCGGAAGATGGGCAGGGTTTCCAGGCAGAAGCTTACGATAGAGATGAGGATGACCATGACGGAGATGATAGCGATAATCCTAGCGGGACCCGAGCTCTCTGGGTACTCAAATAGCAGCCACACTTGTCTCTGAAACTCATTGTCAGGAAGTGGCCTCTCTTCCTCCTTGACGAAACCCTCATCCTCTCTGAACAGCTCAATGGCCTCATCCCCCAACTCATAGAAACGGATCTCCTCTGAGAAAATATCGAGGGTCACATTGGCCGGCCGCCGTAGCCTCCCTCCTGACTGGTAAAAATAGAGAATGGCATCAAAGCTGGTTCGGCTCCGGTCGAAGAAATACTCGTTCCTCAGTGGGTCGAAGTAGCGCATCCTCTTTTTGGGGTCCCCCAGCAGAGTATCGGGGAACTGAGAGAGGGTTTTAAGCTGCGTCTCGAAACGTAGTCCAGAGATGTTGATGACCACTCTCTCGCAGCACTCATGGTCAGCGTCAGGGTCGTACTCTGCCGGGTTCCCCGGGTGCGCTGCCGCCTCGTCAGAGGGGTCACCAGTAGCTACAGTCATTCTGCTGGGGGAGCAGGAGGCCTGCACTTTTCAGCCTGGAAACTGCTGGGAGGGGGACGGAGGAAAGGGAGGGGGTTCAATGCCGTAAAGACCGGACGGCCACAGGATGTCACAGGATGTCACCTCATGGATTGATCCGTCTGGAAGGGACAGAGAGCAGAGAGAATTTAAATAATATAGCATATTGATATAACATAAGCAACTAATTTGATAGCGTTTGTGTTAGTCTGTCCAAAAGTATTGGGACAGTGACACATTTTTTGTTTTGTTTTGGCGCTGTGGATGCTACCATGATTATGGATAATCCTGAATGAATCATGAATAATGATGAGTGAGAAATTTACAAGAGGCATAAATATCATACCCCCCAAAAATGCTAACCTCCCCTGTTATTGTAATGGTGAGAGGTTAGCATGTCTTGGGGGTATGATATTTGTACGTCAGTAACTTTCTCACTCATCATTATTCACGATTCATTCAGGTTTATCCGTAATCACGGTAGCATCCACATTAATGTAGAAGTGTTTAGAAACATATTATATTCTTATTTAAAATAAAAGTGACTCCACAATGACACATTACATTATTTACCATTCATTTCTATTGGGCACAAAATAATCTGAAACAACCAAAACAAACAGCAAATGCATCCAACAAGTTAGAGTCACAAGCTTGATGTAATCATTGCGTACTAGGAATATGGGACCAAATACTAAACTTTTGACTACTTTAATACACATATAAGTGAATTTGTCCAAATACTTTTGGTCCCCTAAAATGGGGAGATTATGTGCTGTAATTTCTAAACGGTTCACCCAATATGGATGAAAATAACCTCAAATGAAACTGACAGTCTAAGCTTTAACCTCATAATCATTGTATCATTTCAAATGCAAAGTGCTGGAGTACAGAGCCAAAACAACAACAACTAAATAACTGTCTCAATACTTCTGGAGCTCACTGTATTATACTGTAATGGAACACTGACATAAAAGTTAAGAAAATATACTTCTGTAGGCTACAACCAAAGTATTCCCCACTCTAAAACACACATATTAATGGAGAAATGTATTGTATGCCCAGAGCTGAATGCCTCCAACTAGTTTCCAAGTAGCATAGATATTATAGCATATGAATCAGGGCATGTGCTCCTTCTGATCTCCTGCAATGGACAATATCAATTCACCTTCTACAGTGAAATAATGCATGAATATGTATATGCAGTAAAGGCACCAAATCTATACAGTTAGCCCTTATCTAGCTTATCATAGAAAACCAATAACTGAATAGTGAAAAGTATGCACCATTTCTTTTTATGTTCCAAGAAGCCCTCAATGTCCCTTATTCATCATTCACTTTAAGATAGTTTTGTTGAAGCATTTTAGACTGGTCTCAAATGGTGCATGTCTCTGAAATATTCAAAAACATCCATAAATTATTAAACTGCTGTAGGAAATAGGTTTCAATAGAAAACTCTTCTGTCTCTGCCCTCCACACCATCTCTTGCATCTTCCATAAAGAGGCATAATTTTGTTAGGGATACTTGGGGATTTTGGCAATGAAATCCTTTATCTACTTCCCCAATGTCACATGAACTCATCTTTACCATTTGCATGTCTCTGCATCCAATTTGAAGGAAGTTAGAGGTTAAACAGCTAGCACTTACCATAGACTTCAAAACATTGCGCTAAGGCAGGTTAGCAATTGCGCTGAGGCTAGTTAGCAAGTTCCTTCAAACTGCACACAGAGACATAAAAATGGTATCCATGAGTTCATCTGTCTCTGGGGAAGTAGATGCAGGGCTTCATTGCCAAAATCCCGAAGTATCCCAGAAACACTATTGAATTAATAAATATTGAGCATCAAATTGCTATTTTGTTCAATGGTCATCTACTGTATCCTCTTTACTGCAGAGGTCAAGTATACTTTTCTAAATGAAAGTGATGTAGCCTATAGCAAACCAAACAGACATTCAAAACCATACATACCAGCAGTCACCTTGTTCAAAACTGGGTGTTAGTTGTTGTTCCCATCTGTCACTTAATATAATGGGGTAAATTGCCAACGGCTAAAAATCCCTCCTATGTTTTAGATCCCGTGAAGAGCAAACATCTATTTCCTACTCGGGACCGTTAATCAGATTATCCTGCTGTCTGCAGCATCACCGCGCGTGCACCGGTTTTGGAGAGCTACAGTATGCGGGTGTGTCCTAGCCTCCCACTCCCAGTCTTCGTTCCTCGCGCAGGTTGTCGTAGGGTGGCGATTGGCAAAAAACGGAGGAGATAGGTTCCGTACTGGAGGACTGGTAATTCTGGTAATATCCAAAGGTGCTAAAATCAGCAGAATCATATGCATCATGCAGTGTCCTTGGCCGCTATGACGTTGACCGCATCAGACAGCCGCAAAGGTAACGGTCCTCATACGGTGCTCAGTAGCAACATCTGCAAAGAAAAAAGCAAGGAGGAGAGGTGGCGAAGAGGCGGTTTTGTATTACAACGTGTGATATGACAAAACACATATGTAAATAAGGACAATATGCAGACAAACACTGAGAAAGATAGAAACCTAACGGGGTTAATAAATTGTGTTAATGGATACGGTTTTAGTAATTAGGCAAGGATAATCTACCAGTTTTCCGATCTTTTTCTCATTTTAAAAAGACCTCCAACTGCAACTATGACTCATCACAATAAACCTAGTCAACTAACTACATGTTTGAGTACTAAAAAGTAGGCTATTCATTTTAAATAAATTCCCACTAAGAAAAAACTGGTTGAATTAATGTTATTTCCACGTAATTTCTACCAAAAATGTCAATGTGATGACGTTGAATCAACGAATTGATTGGATTTGCAAAAAGTCAGCAATTTAAGGGAATTTCGTATTTTTTTCTCCCAACTTTTAAACTAAATGACAGTGTGAAGTTTTTGGTTGATTTCACGTTGAATTCACATGTGACTACTCAATCAAATGTAAATCAAAACAAGATGTTGAATTGATGTTTGTGCCCAGTGGGTTACACGTCATGCGTAGGCTATTGACAAGTGCTCAATAAGAAAATCACAATCCGTGCATTATTTTCTCCGTAATTGAATATGCTACAATGTTTAAAACGCAGAATCCTCACAGATATGCTCATGCAGGGGGCTATGACTGTGCTTGTCCATGAATAGAGGATAGTTATTAAAACCATGCATGCATTGCCGCCTCGTTATACATTGTAAAGAGAACAGCATCTTCCGACATTGATTTGAAATGACATGCATGAAGAATCACCCCGGATTGAGAGCCAGATTATGCAATTCCTCAGTGTCAGAACCTGCATCAGTAGCATCACTTTCCTTGTTCTCTGTTTAGCTAGGGGTAAGGCATGCTTAATTACCCTAGGTCTCAGTCTTTCTAATGATCAGTAGTAGCCATTAGCCTGGTGCAACCTAAAGCTTCAAACCTGCAGTGTGCAGTGTTATGCATACAAAGAGACTGGGGATGGAGAATGGGCGAGAAAACGCGCTCTCTCCACCCGCACTGTAGCCCTGCCACTCCTCACTTATCTGCAGCGTGGGCTTTAAAGGGAACGCGTTTTGGACTTAATTAATAGCTAATCATTGTATATTCATGTGAAATGCAGGTTATCATTCACTATGCACGACCCAGTTAACAGTGTTTAGTATGTAAATGTATAACTATCTGCTTTTATTATGCAGTAGGCCTAACACTGTAAACTACTATTTTGTTATCTGACATAATCTCATGCATAACTTCAAAATGCTTCTGCTATGAAAGTAATACCCAAATGCATTTCAAAATAGATACATTTGTATTAATTCAAGGAAAGAGAGCTACATCATATCGATTCAATTAAATAATACTCGATTTTTCATTCTCATATGGGGTGCTTTTTCAGTCATCAGAAGGCAGTGAACATGTAAGGCCACAGTTCATACAGGCAGAAAACAACACAGCCACCCAGTCACAACACTGTAACACTCACAAAGCTAGCCACTGTGAAGGACTCCCACTAACAGGGCACTATACTGTGACACCCTGTGCAAGGATTTAATCAGGGACTTCCAGAATCTCTAATAGTAATAAAAAAATATATATGAGTTTGGCAGACGTTTGGCAATGATTATGTCACTTTGCACGTCTTTAGTGTTCCTTGTGAGAGTGCAGAGAGTTTGTCTTTAGTTTGTGCAATTTCACAGCCTTGTAAACTCGCCTCGTAGACTCTGGTACTGCCCCATTGGGATGTGATGACTCATAGAAAGTTATAGTCTGCTTTATTCCACAATTCCCAGCCCACAAAAACACTTTACATGATGTCAAGTGAAAAGTTAATGAAAACACGTTTGTAGGTGGTATTAACTAAACATTATTATTGTGTGACTGTGAGAGTTCAAGTCAAGAGAGATACCAGGATAAATAGAATACAATAGAATGACGCTTGGATCAGAGTGCCAATTACAGGGGGCCCAGGGGGGTCTCAGACTCCCTGAATGAGGCATGAGTCCCCCTAACTGGGAGGGGGTCTCTAAATAATGCTAATTGATGCATTCTCCTATTTCTTTAAAATGGAATTTGTACTGATCCAGTGGTAAATATTAGAATAAAAGCTTATTCCAAATTAAGCGAACACCCCCCACCCCTGTGCCACCTCTGTCATTTAAACATTTTTCATGTGCCTGTACTTGTCATCCCAGGACAGTGCCATATCTCAGCCCCTTTTCAGGTGTCCCAACTTTTCTTTCTACAAAAAAGGTAATTTTGTCAGCAAGACGCATCAATTAATTCAGGCTACAAAAGTGTAGACCCAATGACAATCGGCAAATGTCATTACACTTTTTGGTGTTTTGTGACAGATATCTCTTTCCATTCATCCAATGGCGCGAGTGCGCAGTGCACTGTTTGGATGCTGGAATCATTTTGGAGTGCACACACAGCCTACTTTCTGAAGTGATTTGTTTGACATTAAGATGAAAACATCATGACTGGTTGTGTTC